GTGGGTTGTACCTCTCTGGCATCTAGATGATGCAGACGGCGCCCTGGCAGAACACGCCAATCATGTCAGTTTTATGGGCTGCGGCAGATCTCATCAACCCGGAGTCTCTTGAAAATTCTTTGGCACTCAGAAACATCAGCGAACATTTGTCAAATAGAGGACCCTGTCTATCTCGCCACATCCCCTTCATTGATCTATAAAGATGGTATCGGATCCTTAGTTTTTCACCAGGCAAGAAGGCCTTCACTGACCTTATGTCAGCAGAGCTGGCCCGGGTCATCCGCGCGCGTGGCGCAGATGAAGAGACGGAAAAGGCCCGGTGTTGCACTGTGGCTAAATGGAGGCAATGATATACAGTGGGCATAAGCATCAGAGGCATGCACACCATCAAACTCAAACAACATGTTCGTGTATGTTCATCTCAGAGACAAAGACGTGGTTTGGTTCTATTTGTATGGTGGGCTTGATTTGGGGCCGTGGCTGTGGCGACGTCCAGGAGCACAATCAGAAGAAGCTGCATGAGCTTGCCACCTTCGAAGACCGCGAGAGGTATCGACAGCTGCGCTTGAATCGAGTGGTGGTGACGCGATCCAAGCAGATCAAGCAGAGGCGGGGGGCACGATGGCCGCGACAGCCGGAACTTCGATGCTGAACAGATCGGACAGGACACACCAGGACCTGGCGTGTGGTCTTTCTTCACTTGTCACTTGTCACCCTTCAACACCCCTCTTGAATTGACTCAAAACAAGGCCGCAATCTCTTCTCACAGGCTGGTCTGGTCATCGCTGGTGAACAGCCAGAGCTCCAAGGAGGAATACAAGAAGGCATTTGGAAATGCCCCGGTGCCAGATGTTCTTGATGATTTGCTACGCAACTGGGCGGCACTTCAGGCCGAGGGGCTGAATGCTGCAAGCTTCTTCAGACTTGTGTAAGTTTTGTGTATGTAGACTGGAACCTCCTCCATGTGAATCCATGTGACTGTGGTCAAGTCTCCAGCCCCGTCGTTGATGCCATGAGGTGTTGCCACACAAAACACCGTGACACTGGCACGTTTGGGGCTCCAAGCCTTCACACCGGGGCCAACGACCGAGTTTTCAACAGCCACTTGGTGGGCAAGATGTGAAGCCAACGACCGAGCTTTGAAGAAGTTGCCTTTTTGAATTTTGATTATTTTTTTTGTTCAGGATCCATCGCGCACATCCATTGTAACATGCTTGTATGATCTTGTATGCAATTGTGGTCGCATCCATGTGACAAGGTACAGAGGTTTGACCACGTAAAATGACTCATAACGGTTGCCAGTTGGTTTTGTTCTTTTCTGCGTAGAGGCATTACATTTGCGCTTTGATTTATTTGTGCTCTTGGTTATGGTTGCTTGTAGGCATCCCCGCAAGAGGGTCCACCTGCCAAGAAGATCAAGGAGTCTGACAAGGTTGACGACGGAAAGCCGTCCAGTGCGCCCATTTTCACGATGACGCCTGCCTCAGCCGCAGTAGCCAGAGGACAGGGAATGTCGTCAGACAAGCCGGAGGTCCTGGCAGGATACCTGGACTTGGGCTCTTGACCTGACAGAAAACACAACCGATTTCAAAGAAATTGTTTCAGCATGTTGCACTACTCAAGGCCAATTGTCACCTCGACTTAAGATTTGGAGTTCCCATGCCCATGTTGCCCGTCCCATGTGATTCCAGTCTGCTGCTCGTCTCAGTGCTCACTTTGGAGCCCGCTTCCTGGCCTTGGCTTATTTGGTTCCCCGGTTGCCGTGTTGCAGAAAGGCCGGGAGCAAACTTGTAAGCCGTAGGCCACACCTCGCAGCGACGACAGCCACAGCAACAATGTCAGACTTAATTACCAACCGATCTACCACAAAAGTATAACACAAAAATAGAACCATAAAACTAAAGATTGCCCGCTGTCTCCCTGAGTGTGCGGATCATGTCCAATGCACCCGATGAACAGTTTCCATGTGGGTGTTCAAAAGTGCACGCTTCAACAATGTTAAACCATGTTCAACTACATGTTGTAGACAAGTAAGAGTATGAGTACAAGTAAGCAAACAGGGATTAATTGCGCTTTTCCTAAGTTGACAACAAACACCTGGTTTGTTGGAATTTGCTCTGAACTCCCTTGAACTGGTGTCTTTTTGTGCCTGTTGCCCGGAGTGCATCCTGCCCCAGACTCGCGAACCCACGAATCCACAGCCGTGTGACATCAGGCCGACGGGGTTGAGACGAGAGAGGTTTGAGAACAATAATTTCACTGCTATTTTGATCTATATATTTGGCCTGGTTCCGAGAACAGGAACAGCGTTGCACTCAAAAGAGTTTTTCCGGTGTTGGGCATATGTCCCTCCAAACTGTTCAAATTGTTTATCTCCTGCTTTGGTGGCGAGCTTGCCACACTCCGTGCTTGCAAAGCCTGCATCGACCAATGCCAACGAGCGTTCATTCTGAGATGTCCACACAGCACCACTGATGAGATTGATGATGCTGAAGGACTTCATCATGAGATATTTGGTTCTATGCCCAGATGAGATATGTGGGTTAAGAATCAATAAGATGTTGCCAAGGCAGTTGTTGGAAGGTGATAGTTAGAGTCACAGTATCACAGTGTAACAGGTGATAGTTAGATAGAGGCGGACTTGGTTGGCCCAGCCCCCAAGCAGTTCGTTGCCCAATGGGTTTTCTATACGCATGTATAAATGTAGAAGGATTCATCAGGAGCGCTACTGTGGCTTCTCGAAACTTGAAATAGGTTGTCGGAAAACCGGTCTGTGAGTTTTTAGGTTGCGTAGGTACATACCTGTGCTATTTATTCGGCCAACCCCAGGTTTGCAAAAGGCTCGGGATAGTTTTGTTTTTGATGTTCGATATGTAGGGAGCGAAACGCCCAGTGCTAGTACTGTGGATCTGATTGCATTTGCGAGGAGAATGGGATGGAGTGGACAGCCTGGAGACGACCTCCTATGAATTTTCAGGCTTCCGGCGGAGAATTTTGAACCGCACATACTTTGTGGACCAGGCGCATCGGCTTCATTGACGTCGTAAGATCGTCGGAACCTGAAAGTTGGCCATTGGGCCATGTCAGCCATGTTTGGCCGTGTTTGGCTATGAAAGGCCAGCCCCGGCACAGTGGAAAAGATAGTCAGATGTTGCGCAGCGGGAATTCGTTGGCAATATAACTGCCTTGTCCTGTGGCACAGACCTCTGTAAGGCCCAAGTGATCAATGGTCGCCGAAGCTTCTGGGATGAGCCCCACACGGTCTTCATGTACTGGCAGAGCAACTCCCAGCGCTGGGCCATTTGCCAACGCTGGCAGCGTGGAAGCGATTTGCTCGGAGAGGCGGGTGTTTTCGATTGAGGGACAGAAAGGGAGGATGGGGGTGTCCTTGAGAGCATGCTGCTGGCTCAGTGTAGACCCTCGTTGAGTGTGGTGTGTTTTTCCTCTCCAGTTGACGAACCCACCTCGGTCAGGTCCGGAAGGGGCGCGACCTTGGCTGGGCATATTTCCGAAGTCCAGGTTTGTGGGCGGAGTTTTCAGGAAATCAGTGGAGCAAAGTGCATGTGCCTTGGCAGATGGCCTCAGAAAGTTGCTAGGCTGCCAGCTAGCTGCATGCTAATTACTGCACTATCTACGATCTGCCAAGGTGCGCACCATTGTTGAACAGGGAACGCTGCCGAAGTCCTTGCTGGATCAGTTGGCAACACGCCAAGCACTGCAGCCAGCAAAGTCGTTGCCTGCAATACCTCCGGCCATGCCTGTGTCAATGCCTCCGACTACCACACCTGCAATTCCATTGCCAGATAATGTGCCTTGAGATGCCTTGAGTTAATGCAGGGACACGAAGAGGGCAAGATGAAAGGGCTTTGAGGTGTTTTTCAGTAATTTGTTTTCATGGGATCTGCAAGGTCTAGGTCCAACTATATAGACATTCGTTCTTGCAAGTTGTAATAGGAAGACAACTAGTGCACCGGCATAGGTTCAGGCTGGTGCGGCTTTTGCCTATGAAGATCCTGTGGAGACCATTGCTGACACGCCGCCCTTGGTCATGGCAATGCCTGTGGAGCCCTGTTACTTGGCTTCCGGTATGAAATGGGGAGGGCAAGGGCGGTAAGCAAGGTATTTGGCGCGGGCGCCACCAAAGCTTAACATTGAATCATTGTTTCAGGTGGCGGACGTCCATTTCGAGTCGAACATTTTTTGCCGACATTCTTACAGCAATTTGTTTAGTTCTAAGCGCGTGGCCAATAACGTAGATAGCTGGATTAACACATGTGCATTCATATAGAACTGTAGAACCAGTTTCACATGGACTAGCATGGACTCAAAGGCCAGCGAAGGTTAGGATAAAAACCGTTGCGTGATGAAAACAATTTCTTTTACGGTTTTTCTTAGAAGTATTCTTTAAGCGAGGTGTGTTTGGGCGGTTGTGGGTCAGGGACTGGGACACCAGCCTCGAATGTCCAAGAGTTTGTTGATGTTCTAAATGCGGAACGTTCCTCGGTTTACTCAGTTTTAGTGCATAAAACATTCTGAATTTGGTTAAGCAGCGCCTGCACTTGAAGGCAGGGACGAGGACTTTCTGGACATTTGCACGCCAACGCCATGAGGCTGGAAAAGAGAGTCGTTGGAAGTTGGAAGTAGAATGCTGCATTGGTCAATGCAATCGAAGGTACATGCGTGCCCATGCAACACTTCATTGTGGAATTGTTTGGAACATCAATGGGAGAGGGCGCACTGCCATTTTCAGGAAGCGATGCTGCAACGCTGGTTCCAAGCTTCCACTGTAGTCCCGTCAGTGATCAGCCAATGGGTTTCGGGGTTCACTGTTTGAAGGGAAGGCTTGATCCGGCAGCTCGTGGACTAAAAAGGTCCGAAACATGCGAACAGCTGATGTCGGGCTGCCACATTTGATGAGCAGAAGCATGGTTGAACTGGAGCAGATAAGTCATCTCTAAAATGGTAAGTTAACTGTGGCACCATCCTACTGTTTCTGGCAGGTTTCCCTGGCTGGCACTTTTGGCCGGTGGCCACAGTGAACAAATGGCGTCATGCCACAATGAAATGATCAGTACAGTAAAATCTCTTCATTGACAGATCTGCGCATATTTGAGGTCATCCAAGCCGTGATTCTGGCAACCTATGCTCAAGGCTTTCTGTCCAACACTTAGTGCTGCAAAGGTTCGTCGGTGAATTCCAAAGCATGTGTCCAGGTACCGTGGATTTATCATGGACGACGCGGTCGGCGTGATGAGGAATCCCAACGTTCTTCTCCAAGCTGTTGCGGTAGTTTTGAACGCCTGTGCAGTGGACTGGGAAGCGCCATATTCTGGGATTCAGGTGATTGGCGAAACACTATCCTTTGCAGATCTCATGCGACGAGACTTCTGGGGACTTCCGATGCATGGGCTTGATTCAGAGACTCCAGAGATACCTTTTGCATACACTGCCTGAAATATATAATTATGGAAGTGGAAAGCCATGTTTGTAGAGGAGCATGGTCATCCGAGGGGCCATGCCATCCACTTCCACGATTATTTAAACGGCTTAGCAGCTTGCTTCCGGCTTACCAGCTTGGCTTCACTCAGACCTCAGGTCAGGTTGGACCAACAAATCCTTCCGCCCATTGACCACGTTGACCTTCCGCCCTTGGCCCAGGATTTGCCGTCAGTTTTGCAATGATCCTGGCAGAATCAAAGGCTTTGATGAATGGACTTGATGACATGGACCTTGGACCATTTTTCCACCGAGGCTGGAATTATTTGCTTCATGGCCTGGACTCATCGGGCTTCCATGCGGCGATCTAAAAAAGATTTGTGCAGAAGTCGGCCAGATGCTGCCGCGTTGTTTCACGTTGTTGCTGTATACCGTATATGTTGTCTCATGACGATGAGGCTACAAATATCCTGTTGCACTGCCTGACCTCCTTGATTCTAGGACCGCTTGCTGCCAAGCAGGCTGAGTGAAGCATCCCACCTGCCATATCCTTGTAAGCAAATCCATGCAACCTAGGCATTCTAACTGTACTCCAACACCCCCAAAAAACACGGCATTCTATTTGTGGGTCTCCATATCTTTCAGTCCGACGGCATACTACAGTAATAGATGAAGAAACGGCGTTCTTTGTGTTTGAATGGTGGGCAGTTTTGACAGATGCGCTCGTTGGTGTCAGCAGATTTGAGCTGTCATATGCTTGAATTACTTGGCAGGACGGACGGTCCATGCCCAAGTCTTTAGCTCTATTAGGATTGATCGAGAACTTTGCTCTGCCAAGGCTACTGTAGCGCTGGGCATGTCCGGCTCTTGGGCGGCAGCAGCCCAAGAGACGAAAACGTGCAACACGTGCGACGAAGCCCAGCGAGCCAAGTGAGCCAAGGCTCTAGCTTCAGCTCTTTTTGGTGTGCATCCTGTACATACCGAAAATGTTGGACGCTTATCATGGCAATCAATCAGCAGCCGTGATGTGCATCGTTCCCATGCCCCAGCGCACTCTTCGATGGGTTCCGGTTCTTTGCTTGTGGTTCAAGTTGCTGAGGTCCTGTACCTTGTGTGTCGCGCGGTCGGCTTCCCAGCCTTTTTGTCACGTGTATCGCCTGAGAGCACCCTTCCGGCAGGATATCCTGGCTTGCTTGTTGGGCCTTTTGGTGCCCCGCGCTTGAGTGACATTTGACAAGGGGGCTGATGAATCAGATGCAAACAATCATATAAAACGTGTGGTTTTGGTTGTAGTTCATCATGTTCGCCTCGGTTCGCCTAGTTCAACACCTGTGGCAAGATCATGCCAGATCGGTCTCACGTTATCCGAGACGCTGTCCACCAGACCGCAGGCGATGAATTGCTATGCTGCCAGCTTCAGTCCTCCAGCAGCATTGAGGTTGGCACTGCTCCCGCGGAGCGTTGTTCATATGTCGCAGATGTGGCAACATTCCTCCACATGTTTTGGCCAATGGCAATGAAGTTGTCTCTAGGGACTCTAGGGCTCCTTTGCGACTATTTGCAACTGGCTTTTTGGCACGTTTTGGATCAGATGCAGCTTCAAAGACCAGAGCAGAAACACGACCAGAATTGACCAGACACATTTTTTTGTTTTTTTTGGGGAGGGCGATGTTGTTCACTGATTGATCGTGATTCCATAGCTCCAGTGCCTCTCCAGGCCTTTGTGGCCCACACTCCGGAGCCGACCCTTCGATGCTGCGGTGGCTGCTGTTGGCAGCGGTGCGCCCGGAATATATAGATCTAAAAATCGGATCGTAAGCAGCTTTAGCTGGCAAAACACCTGCTAAGCACGCAACAACATCTTCAGGTATCTTGCAGAACCCTTTGTGGATGATCTTCCCCGTGCTGCTGATCATCGCGCAGCGCCGAGATGGGCTCGTGGGGCCTTCGGGGGTTCGTTCGCAGCCAGCGACCGATGTCCATGAATTCCCCAGGCAAGCGGCCTATGCAAGGCGAGGTTTGGCCACTGAGTGGTGCGGTTGCGACCAAGGAGCTTCCATACCGCTCCGCAGGAATCGGGCTTCACGCTGTTTTCCATACCAATGCTTATGGAGCTCTTGGACTTCCTCTCGATGCAGGTGTGACCATATACCTTTGCCAATACTTTGGGCGCAATACTGGTTTCCTGAGGCCTGGGTTCAGCACCAAAAAGAGCGCTTCGCCAAGCGCCGGTAGCTCAGGACTCCAGCCGCCCTTTGAATTAGCTTTGCTGATCTGGAGAAGCAGGGAACTTGTTTGCAGCAAGCACAACCAACGGTCTACACCATCGATGTGGGATTGATGAATTTGCCCTGTTGGGAATTCTCGCCAGATGAGTTCGCATGAGTTCACATGAACCAGCAGCGTTCCTGGTTTTCAGGCACTTTTCGCCGTTTCAGGCCCAGTGCTGAAGTCGTTTGCTTCGCTTGGTATCGTCCCCATGCGCCGCATGCGCCAAAAACAACGCCTTGAGGCTGAGAGCCGGCCTATTGGTTGCAAGACGCTGCCTCAGAAAGGTACAGAGTTCTTTTGGGAGTCATAGTCCAGGCAGTGGTCAATCGAAGCGTGCATCTTTGTGTTTCAATCTACAAATGAATATAATCAAATCATATATACAGCCATAATTACAGCCATATGTACTGTAGCCCTATAGCTCCCTTTGCACGAATGAGACCTCTCAGGTACATTCTTGGTGTTTGTGGCGAGATACCGGCATACTGGAGGAACGTCACTGAACATGCAAAGGCCCAAGAAATATCTCGTATGCAGCCTCCTACTTCCTGCCGGCAAGCACATCCGCAGTTGTTGCCTGTTTCTTGCCGAATGTCTTTTTGGGCTTCTTGCTTCTTGCGCGTTGCACTCTTGACGAAAACGCAGTGACTGACCTGAGCAAACTCCCAGGTCACCACAAGATAACCCCATCAGTTTTGAGACTGAGCGGAAGGCCACAACTTCTGTGGAGCGAAACGAAACAGGAAAGCTCCTTGTGGCCCCTGTGCCTGGATAGAAGCTGGCATAGCTATACTTGAAGCTGGTGAGTGCGCACCAACATCTGGAGCATTCTGGAGTCGCAACTGCGCAAAATTTTGACCGTAGTGACTACAAGCCAGACCGCACAGGCAAGGATCCTGTCCTATTCATATGTCCATGGGGTCTATATGCGGCCAGAACCTGAGTTTGCGCCGGTGCAGAGCATTCTCTCACAACTTAAGCTCACCAAGGCTATTGGTTTGGCCACAGTTTCTTTGTGTTGTGCTGAGCCTTGCATCATATAAGCTTTCTCTGTGATGTGATGACTGTACCGCACTATGCCACTATGCATGCAAGTTGGTGTCTCAAGTTGGCGTTGAGGCTACGACTACTCCATGGATGCCATACCAATGGTCGTGGCCTTTGCTAGTTTGAACGGTCACACGGTGGTCACCTTTGTTGATTTTGTTGCCTCTTGCTTCCTCTTTACGGCAGATCCACACGTTTTCCGTATATTACCTCACTGGTGGCCGTAGGGTGACCTCATGTGACATGCACCAAAAACTTGGCCGGCTTTGCTATCCTTGCCGAGCAAGTGCTGTCCTAAGGTGCGAGATGTCTTCGACTGCCGCTTGATGTTGCCTTTGAGCGCCTACGTGGGCTGCATGGCCTCCGTGAGCTTCGTCATGCGCGGGCCAAAGAGGAGCTTCGAAGGTCGTTTTTGCGGCATGAGCAAGCAGAGGTTTGTGGATATGGATGCCTTTTCTTTTGTTTTTGTGTTTGCTCTTCTCACGTATATAATTATGTGCTTGTTCGTGTGCTTGTTGCTTCCCATGCGTACGCAGAAACGACATGCATGCGTGCACCACACAGGAACTCACTAATTACATACTAGCACATGTAAGAGAAACGTGATACGAACTGGGAGCACTCAGACCACCTCAGGCAACTGCCAGCAAGGCACCGGCGGTCAGGGTTGATAGCTTTGGCACTTCTGGCGCCGAGCCCAGCCTTTTGCTTTAGTGTGACGTTGGGGGGCATTAGGCCCCTTGAGTTCAGTGTAGATTATGATGTGCCCGTAAGTGGGTTATGCCTGGTTCACCCAAGACTGCTGTAGGTTGTGTCGTTTCTGCCAGCCAGCCGCGTACCCAGGAAGATCCGCAAAACTCCAGTTGATCTACACATATGCGCGTGTAGAAAAGTTTTTCTATTGGGTGCAAGAGTGGTTCAGCACCTTAAAGCCGACCCCGCTCCGTGTCGCCTGGGGGCTTCAAAGTATCAACCAGGTAACATCCTGTTCCCAGTCGGTACGGTCACATACTCAGAGGGATCAGCAGACTAAAGGTCTTGGATGTCTTTTCTTCATAGATGCTCACCTGGTTTGCTTCAACATTGTCCTGATTCACCTGCAAGGTGGTTGGGGAGCGACTCATGTACGTTCCCTCTGCCGGTTACTGTCTGGCAGTGGTAGTTGCCATGTCCACAGATCCGACTGCCTGGTGTACCCTGGTGCCAACTATTGCCTGCGACCAGGTGCTGCATGCGTTTTTGCAGGGCACCCTGCACAAGCCTCGAGCTCCTCCCCGTTGGCTTCTCATGTCATTGATGTTGTAGGTTTGCCCAAGAGGACCCTGAAACCTCTTAGGTCCAGAGCCAACAAAGATCCAACGTGGGAAGGAGACATGACACCCACGCGCATCGGTTGGATGGAAGGTCGGAGACCGGGCAATGGAACATCACTTCACAGCTTCAACCCGTGAGGAGATTCACAGCTGGGGAATTGGCAGTGGACGTCCAGAGGCCCAACACGCCCAAATCCAATCACGGCCATCACCGGAGTCTGACAGGCCATGAGACGAGGCTTCAAGGTCACCTTGTGCGCCGGTGCACCCAGTTCTCAGCTAGTTTCGGGCATTTGGCCATTCCTTCCACCAAGTCTGTTGTTTGCTGTGTAGATATGAATTACTGCATTACGAAAGCCAGCGGATGGGCTAGGCTGGAGTGAGTGCTTGATGGGCGAACAAAGTGAGTAGTATTGTGGTTGCGAGGTGGTGCCTGGCGGGTAGGATGAACCCAGAGAGTGGTGGAGGTGGCCAAAGTGTAGCTAAAATGTATGTTTCTAAGGGCCTTGGTGATGCAAGTGATGCGAAAAAGATCTGGTATACCATTAAGTACAGCAGCTTGCCTAATTGTGAATATGGTTGTTTGCTAGCACACGTGGACGCGCGGGCCGTTACTGTTTTCTGTACTGCCCGCTGTTGTGACAAGCAGGCGTGTTCTATACTGGCAGCAGGGAATGCGCAGAACACCGTCCAAGCGAGACGGTGGGCGGAAACGCACCGTCAGTAACGGACTCAACGAAAAGGCCGTGTGCGGTGGTGCCCTTTTTGATCGTTTTGTTAAAGTTATGGGCCGAAACGCGCCGTGACCAACGGCCTCAATGAAGAGGCCATGTGGGCGGTGCCCTTTTAAGAGCTCTGTGTGTTTTTTTTGGGAAGAAAAAGGGCACCAGCAAAGGAGCGCTAGTTTCTGGGATCTGGCCGAAGCAGAGTCCGAAGCAGCTAAGTCTGCTAAGTAGAAAACACGTTGAGAGACAAATTATGTTTGCTCTGGGTTGGTGCCCTCCTGCGCTTCAGGACGTCCCGCACTAAAGAGCGCACCTCTGGAAAAGTGGGTTCCACTAGTAGCAGCAAGTCCCCCAGAACAGACCTTGAGGATCCTTAAGCTACAGTTTTGCTGCTGCCCTTTTGGGCTTTGTTTGGCAGCCACCTGCAAACATGTGCACCTCCCAAAAGCGGGTTCTAGCAAAAGGACATTGCCCAAAGCAGGGCGCGGCAGATGCATCTTAGAGCATTTGACATGAAGCTCGCGAATGAGGAGGGTTTTACCAGATGGTCTACGAGGGCTGGCTTTCGCCCCCTGCCTTCTCAGGTGCATATAAACGAAAAACGCAATCCGTCACGCAGTGATGATGTCTTTTGATAACTAGAAAAAGGTAATCAACAAGGTTGATGGACGGTCGAATTCGTGTGCCATTTTGGCTACAAGACATGTCCCCCCCACACTCCAGTTTTTGAGCAGCCATGAACTTCGAGGAGCTGTTCGAGGACACAGGCCCCCTGCCAGGGGGAGGAGTTGCGGGGGGGACCGTGGTGATCGATGTGGATGAGGACCTCCAGACGACGGCAGACGACCTCCAAATGATGCCAGCTGAAGTGGGCGACATACATGAGATGGCTGACCGGCTCCGAGAGATGCAGAGCATGACAATGGAGGACGTGACGAACAACAGGTCGGGGTCGCCGACGGAGGTCATGGAGGCTGACAGTGCAAGTGAAGGAGAACAGGTGAAGCCCAGCCCTCTGGAGGTCCAAGACCGTGACAAGAAGAGGAAGGCAGAAGCAGAAGCGAGCCTGAACATCCATGACATGGGCACCTCAGAGATCCAGAAGCTCAAGGCACACGTGCCTATGGAGCTGAAGATGCCATGGGAGCGAGGGTTCGCTGGGCTGGTGCTGAAAGGAGGCGCCAGTGTGATGGAGACTGCCTTTCTCGACGAAGACAACTGGAGGCCTCATGCTATGCTTCAAGATGATGTTGAAGTACGTGGGCAAGAAGAAGATCCAGGTGAGTCGAAGTTGAAACCAAGCTTCAAACTCGATGGAAGGCAGAAGATGCTGTGGGCTCAGGCCCTTGAGACTGAGCGTGCAAAGGTGCTTGAGGGCTGGAAGATCGTGATCGACGAGGCCAGGCACTCATGCGCTGCAGCTGGGATGCTCGACCAGTCAGGTGACAGTGTGTTGGATGACATCTTCGCCAAGAAGAAGAATGGAACCTTGCAAGTGAGGTTGAGTGCAATGATGCTGTATGTCCGATGGGCCCGAGCAAAAGGCCTACCTCCCTTTCCACTCAGTGAAGACCAAGTGTACAGGTATGTCGACCAGCTACGACGAGATGGAGCGCCAGCCACCAGGGCCAACAGCTTCAGGAGCGCTTTGGCATTCTGCAAAGGCACCATCCAGCTTCAGGACGTCGACCCAGTGCTTCAAAGTGGCAGGGTGACAGGGTCGGCGCATCGGAGCTATCTTACCAAGCGAGTTCTGCGGCAACGAGATGCGTTGACAGTGAGGCAGGTGACGACCTTAGAGATCGTGCTGGCAGAGCAGAATTTCCCCCTGCAGGACAGGATCTTTGCTGGACACTGCTTGTTGTGCATATATGCACGCCTCCGTTTTGGGGACAGCCAGGGCATTGAAGTGGAGCCTCAAGTCGAAGGTGGGTACTTGGAGGGTGGCACCAGCATTCACAAGACTGACTCATTGGTGGGCAGGGCAAGAAGGGTCCTGCCTGTGGTAGCACCAAGTGAAGGCATCGCCGGAGTGCAGTGGGCCGAGGAGTTGTTGAAGCTGAGACACATCTCCGGGCTGAGAGCACTGGTAGGCAAGCCATTCCTGCCGACGCCAGTGCCAGGCGGTGGGTGGAGTCAAGCTCGGTTGACAACTCCAGAGGCATCCATATGGCTGTGTGAGCTATTGCAGAAGTACACCTGCAGCCCGCAAGTCTTAGGTGATGTGGGTGCCCCCTCAGAAGGTGAGGAGGCTGTTGGGCTATCACGTGAAGCCAAAAGACCGAAGCGTGGTGATCTACAGTCGTGACGCCCTGGCAGAAGGTCTGGACATCCTCACGAACGTGATCAAGGAGATCCGGGAGGGGAGGTTCAAGCCTGATGCACCTCGGAACCAACGGTGGGAGAAGTCCCCACCTGCGAGCTCCGGGGTAGTCCCGGCTAGCGACGACGAGGGTGACGAGGCATTGGCGCCAGGTGAGGAGTGGGACATGATGGAGGTCAGGACACCGGAGAAGTCTGTCCATCGCCTGGAGAGATGACTGAGATGACAAGTGAAAGCAGTGAGGAAGAGCCAGGTGATCAAGAGAGTGAAGACGAACGTAACCTGGAAGCGGTCGTTGTGGCCAAGTTAGGTGCGCCAAAGAAAGCGACGACGGATCTGTACAGACATGGCCTCACTGGGAAACTGTGGAAGTGTCACCCCAGGCAAGTTAGCTTGTGGACGAGCGATCAGTGCCGTCATGATCAAGCTTGAACAGGAAGTGCATGCATGGGGCAGTAAGTGCAAGGTGTGCGAAGGGTACACCAGGTGAGCTTCCGGACTAGCGCCGCGAGGAAAATGTGGGTGCAGAGCCGAGGTGATGTGTGTAGGTGAGCAAGAAGTGGGTGCAAGTCAAGTGAAGTCATGTGGCACAAGGGAGTTGTTCCCAAGTGCATTCGACCTGACACCGGGTTGTCCGGCAAGGTCGAACGGTGCGGGGTGGTCCTGCACGCCCAAGTGGTTGCCTCCGGAGGACTGCGGGAAGCGCGCGCCAGGGGGAGCGAGGGAGATGATGTCAGGTAAGAGGTGATCGAGTAGAGTAGCAAGAAAGTGGGACTTAGCAGACCTAGTATGAGTGTGGTTCATGTGTACTCCCGAAGTCAAGTGAGGCCCGAGTGACGCTGTTTTGTGGTTGTAGAAGCCATGGCCACATTGACGGAGTCCCATGCGGTCTTTGACGCCAAGTTGAGAGACATGGGGTTGGACGGCTACAAGGACGAAATGAGCCGCAGAGGATGGAATACGATGAGCACATTTGCATTTGCGAGCAGCTGGTCGCCAGGCTCCGGTGATGATCAAGCTTTCATCAATCAAGTGGCAAGGCCATTGTTGGGGGCAGCGGACCATGCGGATCTCCCGAAGCTCCGAAAGCTGTACCATGAGGCCTACACCATAGTGGCCGCAGAATTGCGGAGCAGGCTGGAGGGCACGCAGGAGGCAGATGGCACAAAGACCAGAAAGTTGCCTCCTACCGGTGGAGAGGAAGACGAGGTGGGCGCAGTTGAAGGCGGTGTATGCACACCTGCAGCTGACAGATCAGCTTGAGCCGGCTCACCATGTGGTGGATAAGTTCCACTCCATGAGGGTGGACGGGGAGCTGCGGTATTCGCACGGACTTGCGCCTGAGACAGGCATACACCAGGAGGGGCTTGGCACTAGAAGTGGCCGATGTGATGAGCTTCACGGCACACGAAAAGCTGATCGACAAGATGTTCCAAGAGTACCAGCGAGAACCTCCCATGGGCTACGTTGGTGTGACTTTGCCCCAGGTGGCGGCAGCAGACAGGAAGGCATGGAAGTTGATGTCCGAAGACCTGCAAGGAGATCTCGGCCGTGACGGGACAGGCAGGCGCCTGGCAGACGCGGCGGTGGACAGGGTCGTGGGCAACCCGGCCTTCTTGACCATCCTGCTGCCGCTGCCGGGCACGAAGGGATCAGCCGCCAAAGATGAGCCAGCCCAGGCCAGTGAAGTGACTGGCACTGGGGCGGGGAAGCGCAAGCTCATGAAGGAGAATCAGAAGTTGAAGGAACGCCTTCGTGAAGCAGAGACCAAGAAGACCAAAGCCAGCTCATCGAACCAGGAGGCAGAGAAGACGGTGGCCCCAAAGAAAATGCCCATCAAGATGCCGAAGGAGCTGTGGGGCCTCTCACCGATGAAACATGGCGAGCGCCTATGCTATGGCTTCCAGCTCGGGAACTGCAAGAACGGCAAAGATGGAAAGTGTGGTAAGGGGCTGCACACGTGCATGAAATGCTGGAAGCAGGGCCATGGAGCCATGCAGTGCAGCCAGTGACAAGAGGTCACGAATGAAGAGCCCACAGGCCAGGAGGCAGAGGCAGTGTGGGCAACGGGATCGGTGTCCACCAGGAGATCTGCGGAGGGCCCCGACCCATGTACAGAAACTTTTCAAGCACCCAGGCACAGTCCTGGCAGACTGAGTGAAAACGTCAGTGGCGAAGTGCCGCGCACGTTTGAGTTGTTTGCCGGATCTTGTAAGCTAAGTAAGTGTTTAAAAGCACACGGTTTTTCTGCACTAGGAGTAGATCATAAGAAGTGTAAGAATCGAGTTGGACCATGTATAGTTCTGGACTTGTCACGTGAGAGCAGTGCATGTTTTATAGAGAAGAAGATCGATGAGGGCACCATCTACTTCATCCCAATGGCCCCCCCCCTGCGGAACAGCTTCGCGAGCGCGTGACAAACCGATCCCTCGTTGGCTCCGGCAACAAGGAGTACCTTCACCACCACCACTAAGGAGTGCGGAGTACCCCAGCGGGCTGCCGGGGTTGAAGGGAACAGATTTGACAAGAGTCGAGTTGGCCAATGCGTGTTATGCCACGGCTGCACGCATCTTCACGTATGGGCACTCACGTGGTGTCATAGTTTTCATTGAGAATCCCACCAACAGCTACATGTGGATGGTGCCATGCATTGCGGAGCTGTTCAACCTGTCAGGTGTGTACTTCACGACGTTCCAGGTGTGTATGCATGGGGGGGAGCGGGGCAAGAAGACATCCCTACTTCACAATTGCAAGCAGCTGCAACAGTTGGGAGTGATGTGTGACAGACAGCATGCTCACAAAGGGTGGTCCGTGAGCAAATCCCCATCTGGAAAGTGGCAGTATGACACCGCTAGTGAGGCAGAATACCCCCTCCTCTTATGTCAGAGGATTGCTGCCATCATCAGTCAACTCGCCCATGCACAGAACCTCCCAATCCACCTTGAAGCTCGTTCCACTCCCTTGGCGCAACAGGCATCAACCACATGGCGAGTGGCGGCTGGGCGCCAACCCAGGGGGCGGCGAGCACAGGCAATGCTGCCCGAAGACGGCCAAGTCGTCGAAGTCGAGGTGAAAGGTGCCCGTGATTGCCACAAAGTTGCCAATTGGAGTGGCCGCTCCAAGGCCGATACCCTCGTTGCAGGTCGAGTTTTTCCAGCTGGTACCCGGATTCTTCATCGTTTTCCGTCCAATGAGGGGGGAGATCACGGGGACGAACATGACGGAGGTGCAATGAAAGTGGTTTTTGGCATCCCAATGACCCCGGAAGAGGCAGTCAGGCGCGCACACCTACTTCAACACCCCTTTGACACGACCTTCCAGACGCCGGATCATGTGTTAGACAGCATGAAGGCAAAGGTCGCCGAGCTGGGCTGGAGGGACAGGAACATGAGTTGCATGCTAGTATGGAAACCAAAGTAGCGGAGAAGCTTGACTTGGGGGGTGTCGACGAGGTGGTCTCGTTGGCGGCTGCGTGGATGCGGGCGTTTGGGAAGGAGGAAGATGAGGTACAAGTGAGCCTCTCGAGCGGGTTGGTGCTGAAGGGGAAGAAGTGTGAGGAGTTTAGGGGTGAGGGACTGCGTCTCAGTGGCAGGTGTCTTGACCTCAAATCAGCCTACAAGCAGCTAGCCCTGTCGCCAGCCGATAGAAGCTGCGCAGTGATTGCAGTGCTCGACCCAGAAGTGAACAGAGTGAAGTACTTTGTGTCTTATGTCCTCCCTTTTGGTGCAACGGGGTCCGTGATGGCCTTCAACAGGGCTGCTCGGGCGTTGCGTGAAGTGCTCCAGAGGTTCTTGTTCCTGCCGGTCGTCAACTACTTCGACGATTTCCCGCATGTTGACCTGGAAGGCATGGTTGTTAGGTCCCAGGTGGTCATGGAGGAGGCCTTCCGTGTGCTCGGGTGGGGAATAGCCGAGGAGGTGAAGAAGAGAACGCCGCCTGCTAGGAGATTCGTCGTGCTCGGAGTCGTGGTTGACCTGAACCAGTCCCAGGATGGGGTAGTGGTTGTCCGCAACAAGGACGATCGTGTTGATGAGTTGGAGGCAACGATCACGGAGGTAGAGTCTTTGTGTGCATTCCCCCCGGCAACCGCAGCCAAGGTATACGGGAGGTTGAACTTCGCCGAGGCACAGTGCAGTGGGCGGTGGCTAGCCCCCCTGTTGGGGCCAGTGAAACAGATCATGGCCAGGACAGTGAGAGGGGTCACGAGGGAGATCAGGGAGGCCTTGCAGACGTCGGCAGAGCTGTTGAGACAAGCCCCACCTAGGAGGTTAGAAGCCGTGAATGGTGAGGACCCATGTCTAGTGTTCACTGATGGGGCCTATGAAGACGGTGTGGCCACTTGTGGAGCTGTCTTGTTCTCACCTAGGCTTGAGAAGGCCATCGCATTCGGTTTCAGGATACAAGATGAGATAGTAGCTGACTGGCGTGGATATGGTCATGAGCATGTCATCGCCCAGGCGGAGATGCTGCCGTTTGTGATAGTGAAGTGCCAGTTTGCTCCCCTGGTGAAGGGGGCACGTGTCTTGTACTTCATCGACAACGAAGGAGTCAAGGAAGCGTTTGTAGCTGGGGTCACTAAGTCAGCAGCATGTCGCCGCATGTTAGTCGAGGCTATGGTGAGAGATGCTGGCAACAATAGTCTCAACTGGTACACGCGTATAGCGTCACCTAGCAATATAGCCGATGCGCCGTCGAGGTTGAGGTGGGATGAGTTAAGTGGAACGATCGACTACATCAAGGTGAATGCCGAGTTCGACTTCGCTGAATGGGGTAGAGTCCGGGTAGTCTGAATTAAAAGTGATAAGTCAGGTCCAACAGAGTTGTACAGAAGAAAGAGCGTTTGAATGAGTCAATTTTCCAACCATTTCACCGAGCAGTACAACTGCACCGTACCAGTCCCCAATGTGAAGAAAAACAAGTGTCTTGAGCGAATGAGAATTTCGTAGTGTCGAAAAAGTATATATATATATATATTATATGTATACGTATAGATTTGCACAACTTTATACATGGGAGTTGATCGAAAACCCCGTGTAAGGAGTTTTATATAAAACAGCCTTTCAGATGTTGTTAGAACAATCCGCGAAAGATTCGCGATGAGGTTCGCGAAAGTATCTTTTTTTTCGCGAAAGATTTATCGACGGTCATCGCTTTCATACGTTTTCCTTACTGACAAAGAATAGAAATACAAGGCAATCTTCCGGCAGAGCCGGTGGGCGGAAGTGTCCCCATATGTCACAGACTAACGAATTGAAGCCTCAATATTTCCGTGCCCAGCCCTGGCAGTGCGTAAAGGATTCTCCGATTCCTGTCCCCACTATCATAGACAAGCAACCTGAGTAGGAGCAGCCCTGACTGAGGCAACAACCTGCAGCTGCTCTGACGGGCTGTGCAGATGTTTGCATACGGCTTCCCCGGGAAAGCGCCAGTGAAATTTCGCGAAAGATCCGCGAAAGTTTCGCGAATGTGCCGCTAAAGTCCAGGTTCCCAGCTTGAGGCCCCCCAACATTCCCCAAGCTGCATCACCCTGTGTTGGTAGCTGGCACGAGGATTGGTTTGAGTTGCGCCACAGATGCTGCAAGTGACCCTGAGTAGCTGTGGAAACGTTCAACCTTCTACTGTGGTCATGCTGCAAGATGTCTGTCCCTATTTTGTGATACTATGACATGTTCCGGCTCATGTTAGCTAGACATGGTTGTAGGACCATGCTTCGCGATGAGGCCGCGAAAGATCCGCGAAAGATATCTTTTTTTCCGCGAAGAATGGCCATTCCAGGATGAAAGAATATTGATCAACCACCACATATATATATATATATGCAAATATATATTTAAAAATATGACTCTCACTCAATTTGCTTGAGGTGACCCTTGCCCTCACAGCGCTGTCAGTTCGAACATGGCTCCGCGTTTGGGACTGGGAGTCGGCTGGTGCCTTGGTATTGGATGTTTGCACAAGGGCTAATTCAATAACTTCAAAGCCGGCTGAGTCTGACACGCTGTTTATTCGTGATGGGGCGCGGCAGCCCCAGTCTTCCAAGACACAGGCCAGCTGCATGGCAAGGGCCGGAAGACACATGCAAACAGTCACTGTATGTCATTGTATTGTATGATGTGCGATGCAGTTTGTCCCTGGCCAGTTCAACCTGGGCATCACCCACATGCAGATGCAGGAGTCAAAGACAGATCGATAGGCTAGAGGAAGGAAGATATCATGCCCCAGGATTGTGCGACTGGCTGTGCCGTTTTGGGTGTATTTTGCCGCACCGGTTTCAAGAGTGTGGTGCATCCAGACCAGCCGAGAAAGAATACACTCAGAGACCATATAGAAACGAATCAAATAAACATTGAAAAGTATCAGTATGCCAGTATATCGACACAATCTAAATTAGAATTGGCAGGCGCCAGATGTGAGAAATAACAAGTCTTGAAGAAAAGGCCAGATTCTGTGCCAACTTGCATCGAGGAGTGGGATGCAGCTGTAGATGCCTTGGTCCGATGTGCATGGGCAGATCCGTTGAGTTCCCTGTTTGAGACTTATCACCCTGCTTGAGTTCCCTGCTTACAGTCTTTTGACTCTTGACAAGAATGTGGCATCAGTCATGCCACAAATGTGGCAACACACATGCGTTTCTTCCTTATTGTGGTGGCTGAGCTTTTGAAGAAGCATGCAGCAGATATGTTGATATGTTGGGCATTCGTTTCTTGCAACCACCTTCTTTCAACAGCCTTAACAGTGGGCGCGGCTGCGGCTGTGAACCCGATCTCGACTGCTTCCTCGGATGTAGTAGCTTCCATGCACATGTTTACTACTTGGCTCACTACTACTATCTACATCTATCTACTTATACACTACAATTACAGGTACAATTAAAGTATTCTTTCCTCAAGAAGTATCAAAAACCACACGAAAGAATCAAAGGGGATCGATGTCAGACCACCGCAAAAAACAAAACCGCGGCAAGCAGTGATCAGCAAGCACCCCCCAAAAAACCCAAGGCCTTTCTACCGCATTGGGCAGATTGAGATCCTGCGGAATCGCTTTGACTCCGCCGCCTGGAGCCTCACCGTGGACCGGACTGGGACCGCCGGACTGGGACCGCCGTGGACTGCACGAGGAACGGTGGTTGGCGGCAGCCATTGACAAGTTCGGAGCAAGTCTCATGGTACGAGATGAGGAGGTACGAGATGAGTGAAGATTGAGTGCCCACATCCGTGTGAGTTGCCAATTGCATGACCTCAAATCTGTCCAGATGTGCTCATGTTGGATAGGGTTGGTCAAAGTCAAAGATCAACAATGAACAAGTGATGTTGCCCGTGGGAGTCAGGAAAGGAAACACATTGAACCGGGTTGGGCATTCAAAACCCGGTGAAGATGTAAGTTTCTGAACTTAACTCGGACACAAGATGATGCAAGCAGCAAAAGGACACCGGCCTAGCTACAGGCGTGGAGGTCGCAGAATTGGGTTCTCCAAACATCCACAACTTTCCAAGTCATTCCAGCATGTTCATGCCCGTTTGGTGCCATGTCTGCCAGCGTCTACGACCCACTTGGTCCTGAGCGTGCAGAGCAGCGCTACTGGCAATCAGTGGCCAAAGAGGTGGATGATTTGGAATCATGCTTGTTCCAACTGGATGAGCAGTTGGCCGTTCTAGAGCAGGAATGTGGCACCCCAAGACCCCGAAAGAAGCGCTTGGCACCCGTGCATCGGCGAAACCACTCGAAAGAGGCATTGCAAGGCTTGGCTCAGAGCACGGCTCAAGCCGCGACGGGGGCCGTGGTCCAATCGCGGTCGCAACGGCAGCTGAGATTGCAGCTGAAAGCGTTGAGGCGGCAGCGACTGGAGCCTGCAGGCAAGCGCTCCCTGAAGATGTTGCATGTCTCGCCCCGCTATGGAAAGATCAATGCTAAGGTTTTAGGTATCCAACGCGCCAGGAATATGAAACAGAAGATCGCAGAAGGGCGATATTTTCACACCATGGGTATGTTCAAACAAGACAAGTACCGAAAAGCCATGCAAACACCGCCTGAAACGAGGGGATCGGACGAGGCCCTGCAACGGTGGACTCTTGTTGCCTGGGATCGGCGTCGAGGGCCTCCGGGGGGACAAGCTGCGACCTACCAAGGGCCAGATGGTGAGCTTCCGGTTTTGCGTATGAGCTTGTGGTGCACGGAGCGCTCGGCCGAAGGTCTTTTCAGTTGGTGCTGGTGGTTTGGTCAGCGAGGTCAAGTTGGACAAGAGGATGCATGGGTGGCAGAGACGCCATATCCCGTCTTCATCCCAAGCAAGGGTCGCGCCAAGGAAGCACATTTGAATTGGAGGGCAGTGCATTGCTTTGGTGATGAGGCGTTTGACGCAGAAACTCCTGCTGAAGCAGACAGCCCAGGTGCTTTGGTTGTGGTGGTTGTGGAACCAGCTGAAGCTCAAGCATATCGTGATGCATGGCCTGATATGCCTCTGATAGTTCTGCCTGAAAGCGAGATGGGCCCAGCCTTTGCACGTTGGTCAGTTCAAAAGCTTTGCACCTCCTTCCGGGCAGAGATCGAAGGAGGTTATGGCCCCTTGCAGCACATGCAGTATTGCTGGCTGATTGACGACAGCATTACCAGTTTCTACAGTTTGGAGAAGCTCTCGGAGAAAGCGTTGGAGGAGGAGCAACAGAGAATCCAGAGTCAACTCCAGCAAGTTGGTGCCATCGTTGCTACGACGCCTCTGAGGCGGCCCTTGGGACGCCGCACCGAGCGCTGTGGAGAAGGTGCCATGTTTGCCAAGGCCCTGTTGGCCGTGCAAAAGGCGTCCCATTGGGCAAAAGGAAATTATGCCATCAGTGGTTCCTGCGGGACGATGGCACAGCTCCAATGAAAGCAGCCCAGTGGGCTTTAGATAGCACATCTGTCTTCAAAGTGGTTATGCTGAATCTAGTTCAACTGTTTCAGCTTCAGGTGGAATATGTGCCTCAGCTTCGGCTCTTTGAAGATGTTTGCCTCAATGTTCAAGCGCGAAATTCCGGCGCTCACATCCTGAAGTGCATGACCTACTGCTACCGCGCCGACAACAAACGATTCGGCGGCTGTGCTGCTGAGCGTGCAGCAAACACAGCAAGTTCCTTCTGCACTTCTTTGGAAGACCTGATTTCAGCCGAAGCCTTTCTAGCTTTGTCTCCAGCTGCCAAGGTGGGGATGATTGGGATGTCATATACAATTAATGTTGATGCTAACCATGCGGTCTTTTTGGATATTTTTGGATATCACGACATCACAAGGTCATCATAGAAGGGCGATTCCTTTGACCAAACTCAGCTCTGTCCAACATGTACAAAACTTAGCACGAGACATTTCTCACGGTGATGACCCAGTATTGCGTAGCTCGGCCATGTGCCGTCCACCCCCCGGCTTGACCATCGGTGCTCAGGCAGCAGTTCAACATGTCTACAATTGGGTTCACCGAGATGAGGATCGATCTCGAGCGCGGCTTGAAGAGCTTGGCCTACCAGCTCCCCTGGCTGCCGATGTATCAAATCTGCCGCTGGAGGATGTAGACCAAGTTTACCCGGAAGAGGTGGCTCGTATTGAGGATGCTTCGGAGCCAGCGACCCAAAGTGTTGCGCAGTTGGCACCTGTACAATGGGACGTCCAGTTGAAGCCCCAGACAATCGAACTGGACTTGGACTGATCTTGGCCAATGTCCGAAAACATGGAGCGTGATGCTGGTCAAAATGGTTGGCGAGAGAAAATGCTTGCGACATGAGTCGTTGGGCATGTCCAGGAGTTGGGGTGATCCGTGGGGTGTTTTTTTCTTAAAGCCTCTCCTACTTAGTCATTAAGTAGGTTCCTACTTAATTAAGAGACAAATTTGACTGAATGTTCTCCTAGGTCCTAGCAATAGGAAGCTCCTAGATGTGGACGCAGGATAGCTCACGCTTCTTCAAGGAAGCGGGCTGGAGGGAGCTTCCTTGAAGAAGCGCTCTCAGACATGCTCGCACTCATGATTTGGTTCCTAGAATTTTAGGGAAACTAAACTGAACTGTTGATTTGCGGCCTCAATATCCGCAGGTTTTCCACGACCTAGCGCTGGCAATGTTCCAGAATGGGATTCCCGGCTGATTTTTTTTTAATTTGGCGAGCTATATATATATATATTATATATATATATTGGCATGGACTGCCAAAGCATATTGTGCAAACACAGTAGCCAACACATGCTGCAAGTGTGACATCTAAGGAAAGTGGATCAAGCTGAAACCAGGTGTGGTAGATGTTTTGTTTCGAGTTGCAGATTCATTCTTTTCAGGTTGCGAATATCTTTGCAGTCTGGCCCTCGTTGTGGCCATTGCATCAGTGATCAGCTCTGTTGACTTAGATTCGTTTGGTTTCTGCTTTTGTTCTCCTCGTCGGCCTCAGGTTGAACCCTGATTTTGCGAAAGGTTGGAACAACCTGGCCTGTTGTTTGGTCGAATGCTCAAGCATTAATGTTTTTGCAACCCATCTTGGATTGTGCTATTCATGTGCGGATCGCCTTGGAATGTTCTTCAGCAGGTCAACTCAAAGGTTGCTGTTTTCTTCATCTTGGAATATCTTGGACCTAAGGCTTCGAAGATGAACCTGAATGACAGTGTCCACAGCCGAGCCTTTTTCACTTAGACTCCAGGGACATCCATGGACTCACTGGGCACGTGCCTGCGCGCTTGCTGGAAGCATCAGCTGAAGCCAAGGCCAGGGCTTTGCGCAAGGCGGTGAGCTTGGACCCTGAAAACCCGCCTCTTGGCGACGTGAACATAATCCTTGGACCAAAACGAAAAGCGTCGGCAGAGCGTGTTTCTGGACGTAGTGCAAGCCCCTAGGGCCTGTAGATTGTAGATCTCATCGTGAAGACCCTGATGAAGTTGGGTCGCCTCCTAATATCTCTATTTTCCGCAAAGCTGCCACAGATCATTTGTTGTTGTCGTTGGTTGTTGGTTGTTGTCGGTTGTTGGTTGTGGTTGTTGTTTGCTGTTGTTGATTGGCAACAATGCCTTTGATACTTTGATGATCTTTGATGATTAACAACATTTGTTTGAGTTGTACCATTGTACCTGGCCCCCCTCCATTAAGAAAACCATAGAAAACCCAAGGATGCCCCATGAAGCTTAATAGTGGATGGTGCACAGGGTGGCGCGCAGTAGATACAGCATGATATATTTCGACTACCCGGATTACTCATATCATCTCGTATGTGACATCGTTGTGTCTAGGGCCTAGGGACGTTTAGGGCCACAAAACGTCATACAGTATATGTATATATATACACACAACTTTCCTGGTCTTGAATTAATCCAATCTCCTCGAGGCAGTACTGGGCTAACTTGGCACTGGCCTCGACCTGCTGTGCTCCAAAGAGGTTGCAGCGACCAAAGCTTGATGATGGGCTTTTGTAAGGCTGTTCTCAGTCAACATCTTGGAGACTATGCCACATCCAAGTCCGCAATGAGCCTTTTCCTGAGTGAACTCACACTCACTTGAATATCTTGAATGCTTTCAGCGGGCATTGCCATCGAGATTGACATCATTGACGCACCCTTGTTCTCCCCGAGAAAAAGTTACAGACACGGGAACATGATTTGGCTTGTTGATTCAGGCACGGCTTTGCAAATCTGGCCGTCAGCTTGGCAGACGCTACATTCTGTTCATACATGTTCATACTATATTTTGAAGTTGCGGAATCCGTATCGCACCAAAACTATCCTGTTTGCATGTTGCCCGCAGTCTCTTTTCTTAGATACTTGTGGATACTTTCTGGCTGACGCCCCGCCCCAGGAGTCATAGGACCCTATCAAAGCTGAAGTTACTTGAGGCCAAGCATGCCCGAGCATCGTGATTGTGCCTGGGAGTTCGCACCGGCCGGCTGACCAGTGCAACATTTGACGTCCTCTTCTATAACACGTCGCAAGCGAGTTCTTGTTTAACCTTGCCGGGTGGATTTGCACAGGTTGTTTCGAGCACCCCAGAAGTCATGGGGTGTTCAATGGGTATTCTCACATGTACCTAGTGCACAAGGCCTGCAAGGTGCTGCGCCCCAAAAAGTCAGGCAGCTTGCTTGGATCATGGACGTTGGACGTTGGCATTGTTTGTTTTGGAGGATGTTCTTGCAAGGAATCATAGAATTCGTTTGTTTGGCTCCAAGTCGTGCATGGATAGTTCATTCATTTAGTGTTCATTTCTTTTCCCATTCCTGGACCGACAATTACCAGCCAACCGACAAAGAAAGGCACCAACCAGATTGCATGCAACTTTCTACAGCCCATCCGTATTGAAACAGAACCATGTGAGCTTCACGACTTTAACTAGAACACAACACTTTGTACCTTTGTACCACTTCCATCAGCCACTGGGAGCATGGGGCGAATCTATGTTGGAACCTCTGGCTGGTGTGGCCTGCATCCACGGGATTTTGCGCGACACTACGATGTCGCACCAACCTTAAGCCCTCTCTTGAGCCCTCAAGATGACACATTGGAGATGGAGATACATCCGTTAGTACACCCGTTGTGGTTCTCAAGCTCCAAGATATGTGAGCAAGTTCAATTGTCCAGGTCGAGTTCAATTGGACCTTTCACGAAAGAGACAGCGATGTCGAGCACTACCGGAAGGCCGGATGTGCTTTAATACCTAAGCGCAGAGACTGAGAACGTTAGAAAACAAGATCTCATGACTCCACCTTGAGATGAAGCACAGGGGTAGGACATTTCTGGAAAGTGCCTTCTGCATGAGTCAAATGACAAGCATCAACAAGCAATGGTAGCATATTGTTCTACCTGCCGTGATTGTATGCTCAGTCTGGATAGTTCTGAAGTCAGCCCGTCGCCATGAAGCGTCCAGCATCTCAAGTCAAGCTGAAGGCAGCGCCGCAGGCTTGGTCAGTCATTGCGCTGGACTTGAAACAACAACTCGTGCGAAAGTTTGAGAGTGAACGCAAGCCCCGGCGTGCGGTTGAGATGGCCAAATATGTGCGAGAGATGTTTCCTTTCTATGGCTTGAAGGCACCTCAACGAAGAAATTCTGCCCGAACTGTTCTCCAACAGTGGCGGAAGGCTCATGGCATCCAGACAGTCCAGGAGGATTTGGCCAAAGCTGTGCTGCGTGCACTCTATGCTTGCAAAGAGCGAGAAATGCACTATGTGGGTGCTGAGTTTTGTGCTGAACTCATGCGTTCCGGCCCAGTAACACCAAGGTTCCTGGATGTTGTGAAGTTCGGTGTGACCACCAAGAGCTGGTGGGACACTGTGGACATTTTTGCCGCTTCGGCCATGTCCAACTACATCTTGACTTGTGGGCAAGGGAAGCCTTGCAAGGAAGTTCTGCAGGTGATGGATCGTTGGGCAGTATCTGAGAACCTTTGGCTTCGACGTACGGCTATTCTTAGCCAGCTGAAACTTAAGGACAAGGCCGACTTGACAAGACTGACACTGGGACCGTTTAGTTTTTTTTTGGATTGTCAATGAATTGACGCATCGCGAGCAATACCTTGAAGCCTTTCTGGCCAAGGTATTAGTAGCAGATTCTCGCAGCCAGTAGGTCGGAGGCCATTGCTATTAGGTTGGAGGCTATCGCAGTAGTGTTATTTTATGTTATTTTGATTTATTTTGATTATTGATTGCCCAGCATTGATCATCGCATGAGACCGCATAAGGACACGGTACGTTTTGCAGAACAAGGATCACGAGGACTTCTTTGTTAAGAAGGCCATTGGCTGGGCATTGCGACACCATGCCCACTATGACCCCAAGTGGGTCCGACAGTTCCTGTCAGAACACGGTGATGGCCTTGCCAGTCTCTCATACAAGGAGGCATCAAAGCATTTGAAGTGATCTTGCATGAAGTTTAGTGATCTTGATGCTTCAAGAGGCTTTCCCCCTTGTACCCTTTGGATCCCTTGAGATCCCAGCAGTGTCAAGCCTCTCAGTGCGCTTTAAACTTGCGCTTTGGGCTTCGCGGCTTTGCACCTCAAAAAAGTCTCGGACGGAATGCTTTTTTCGGACGGTTGGGAGGCTGTCCTTTGAGACTTCAATTGTCTGAGCCAAGACACCCCGAAGCTGGTAAGGGTGCGGACTCCTCCATTGCTCCCGTAGGGTGTCGATCATTTTCTTGAGATATAGAATAGAATTCGTAGAGTCAATAGAGGTTTTGATCTTTAAAGTTTGCCCGGCCTGGGTCCTCTATCACGAAAGTGAGCTCGGAAGAAGGTCTGCTGAAGTTCTCCTTTACAGCGGGAGAGTTAGACTTGATAGATGCAAATGATCGAATTGGTTTATCACTGCAATTGGCACCCGCTTAGTGAAGCAAAGGTTGTTCTGGATTAGTGTTCGAGCATTTCCGGCAAGTCTTATTGGTGACACTAGCGCTGAAGCATCCCAGAGTGCACCACTGCCTGCATTGATGGTCATTCTCTTACAGCACTCGCAAAGTATTCTCGCTTTCGTTCCCGCTTCTCAAGTTTTTGGATGTTTTGGCAGGTTAGTTCTTCTCTCAGACTTTGGCAGCCGAAACATCTGCAGTTGAATAGAGTGCGCCAGGTAGCTAGCGAACTGCGAGAAATGCATCTCCATGCTGTTTTGAAGGTGGGTGCCTTGGGAAAGAACGGTGAAACAGAGGAGATTGAAGCACCAGCGAGAAATCACATGGTGATGCAGTGATGCCTTTGGCTGCCTGGTTTGCATTCTGCCAGCACTGAAGCTTCCCACGCGATGGTCGCTTGGCGTTTTGTTTCGTGCCATTCCTGCCCTCACCCAACCTTGGCTCAAGCATATTTTACAAGCACCATGGGCATAGTGATAGTGGGCATAGATAAAGTAGACACGCGCAAGAGATGCCTAGCCCCATAATGCCTTCCAGCAAACAAAGTGGCAGCAATCGCTTTGCACTTAGCTCAGCCCCCCCGGTAAAGTTTCATGTCATATCTGAATGCATCATTCTGAATCTAAGTTTTGTATTGTTTATTTTGTTATTCACTGAGCTTTCCATGACCCTGTCACTGAATGGCTTGACAGTGTCGCCCTATACTGTTGATATTCTTATACTTGAACCTTTGGCCGCCTTTGGTCTACTCCCATGGTCAACACTCCACGATCTCTGGAAGAGGGTGCCCAGCGCTTGGTGGAGAGTGCAGAGGCAGCTGTTCAGGAGATCGAAGATACGGGTACTTTCCAGTCGTTCTTACTAAGCAAACAAACGACACTGAAAAGGATACCAACATATGGCACCTTCAATAGGTCGTACCTCTCGGCAGTCGTCCTGCATTGTGAGGATGGTGCTGCTGCCTTTTCAACTGCCTTCACACCAATCGTGGAGGGTGCTCGAGCAGTACATGATGGCATTTGGTCAGGGGTCACTGCTGTTGCCCGGAGTGTCTCACGATCTTTCTCAACAGGACCATCGCACGCCAGGCGTCACTACACTCAGATGGAGGAAGATGACAAACAGGACATGAAGCGGGAATATCAAAAGCGTCAATGGGCTGAGTCAATGGAAAGGAACCTCTCAATGCTGAAGCAAATCATTGAGCATAGGCGGAATGAGTTGCACATTGCAGACATGGGCAACGATCAAGAGAGGAGACGAACCCTTGAGGCTGAGCTACGTGATCTCAAAATCCGGCAGGCACGCCTGTCATGTGCCTTGGGGGTTCAACCCGAAGACCTTCCAAGTTCGCAGACCTTGCTGGAAATGCGCAACCCCAAAAAACTGCAAGTTGAGCTAGAAGCTAAACTTGTCGAGCTGGGCTTAATTGAAGCAAAACCACCGAGGCCGCCCTTGCCCACATCCAGCGCCAAAGCAGATGCAGCCACGTCGCCCGACGCACTTTGGAGTGCACAGCAGCAGTCCGGACCTGCTGGCCTTGCAATTCCGAAGCTTCTTCGCAACGAGGAGTCCGGCACTCCGGTGTCTGGCGCTGGGTGCCAGACGTCCCAAGGTGCCAAACCTCAAACGCCTCGGAGGAGGCCAGGGCCGGTCGAGACTCAGACTGGTGACACTGGAGGTCCGGAGAGTGGTGGAGAGGCATTGGAGGCTGGAACTGGAAGCAGCCCAGTGCGTGCAGAGAAAGGGAAGGGAAAAGCTATGACCAAGGGCGGCAAGGGAGGCAAGAAAGGGCCGCCTGCAGTGGCGAAAGGTGGAACGGCTGCAGATGCAGATGCTGATGCCAAAGGGGGGAAGAAAGGAGCGCCAATGAAAGGGGGAGGACGGATTCGGAAGGTCACTCCTTTGGGTCGGAGATTTCACTGGAAGGAACTCCATGCTGAAAAAGTAAAAGGGACAGTCTTTGACAAGGCCGAGTCTCCTGGAATGGAGACCATTGACCTTCAGTTTGATGGGCTCAAGAACTACTTTGCAGATGACGATGAGCTGTCCAAGCAGGGCATTCCTGTACCGCAGAAGTCGCAGGAGTTCATCAAGGTCTTTGACAATACACGCATGCAGAATATCGCCATTAATTTGCGTGGCATTTTCGGTCAGATGCCTTCCATCCAAGAACCTTTGAGACAAGATGAGACAAGGGTGTGGTTTCATTCGTTTTGGCTGCCGCCACCGCCCTCATTTTGTGGATATATCGGGCACACTGTATGATACCGGGTGCACGGTGCACGATTAAGAGCTGCACTCTAATTGATTTGGGGTAGCCTGCATCCCAAAATTAATCATAAAAGCCGTTGTTGGTTGAGGACACTCAATCAACCCCACGATGAATTTTGCTTGGCCCCTTCCTACCATCCTGGGCCAGGATTCCTGGCGTTGCCTATTTCAATGCAAGATAATGCAAGTGTTTTGTGTCTTCATGTTGGCAAACCCTTGCCCAACCACAGGAACGCAAATTGAATTGATATAAACATGAGCAAAGATGAGATGGACTTGGCTTGGAAAATTCATCCGATTAGCGCACCTTCCAACCACTTAATAACTATATACGATATATCTCTATGCGTTCTAAGCTCACATACCGCCCCCCCAAAAGAGACTCCTTGCGATATGCCCGTGGTTTAACAAATATAATTAGACCTTGTGGCAGGCTCCAAGCCAACGAGAGACTGGGTTTGAGCGCATGAGAACGCAGACCAGGTTCCATTAGTGGAGCTAGCCCCATCCATGGCGTGTTTTTCTGTTGAAGGGGGAAAAGCACATCAAAATACAGCAAGATGCACAAGATCACATCAGGGAATGTGAGGTGAACTAGAAACTAAGGGGAGTGTGGGTGCAGGTTTTCGCACCCAGATCTAAGGACATGGAGTTCCTAGCTGCAGGCATCCACGCAGTCGACCCTGCCAGAGCTGGGCCAAGTTCATTGCCTCTCCGGGATGCAGAGAAGATCGCGTTGTTGCCAACAGTGTGGGCCTAAGAGTCACGGAGATGCCGCAAGAGTCATAAGAGTGGTCGTTGCGGATAAGACCAAACGCACTCCTCCCGCCTGTGCCCCCCATGCCCTCCTAGTATTCATAGAATTGGCCTAGGCCATCCCCACTGCAGAAGAGGCCAAGCAGCTGCAGGAGAACCCACCGGAACAGCTGCGCCAAGTAGAGCGGCAGCTTGCACTGGGTGAAATCCAACAAAATGCAGTTAAACTAGATTTCAGCAGAACTGGATTTGAACTGTTCAACTGTTGGTTGGTAGGCCAAACATTTAGTTGAGGCTTGTTCTCCCACTGGCGCAGCTGACACGCTGCACCCAGCGAATACGTGCATTGCGCTTGGCAGCACAAGCGGAAGTTCTTCACGATGCCCTGCAGGTGTCTAGCAAGGGGTAATACGGAGATGGATGGAGATGGGGTTTTGACATGAGATAGGGCATGATTTTCGGATATTTTCGGCCGTGGCAGGTTCATTCTGTATCGCAAGGTTTCAACTTACCAACCTGCCAGGTGTCCCAAAGGAACTCAAAACCCGAATTGTGAGTCTGTTCATTTCCAAAGCCCAGCCTGCTGGCGGCCCTGACACAGGGACGGATGGAGTGCCTCCATGGAGTTTGTGAAGCACTGCGAGATTCCCTGGCACTGCGGCGCTTTCTGCGTACGGTGGGGTATTCGGCCAATGGGGTTGGATGGGGTGAAGATCGCCTTTTGACAAATCACTTTGTCGTCGATTGGTTGGTCGCACCCCAAGCTCATGTTTGCGGAAGATCAATTTTCATGAGTTTTTGCTCAAACAGCCGACGATTGAGCCGCAGGTTGCCAAGCTCGGCAGCTGGATCAACTCTGCAGATCCTGAGATGGAGCTCCTTGACTTGGATGTTTATATTTCTCCGCACTTTGAACACTCCGCCCGCGTTTGAACCGCTGCACTTTTTCATCTCCTTCGCATGTGCAGCCCAGCCGCCAAGGAAGGGCTTTGCCATCTCCTCCGCCCTTGGCAAGCTTCGGCTATTCCGTGCTGTGCGGGAGGACAAGGCAGTGTCCTTGCTGCATATCGCAATTCTGGCTGCAGCTGGCGCTGAGGCTGGATCTTAGAAGTTGACCATGAGGACACCAAGCAGTAAAGTGAGCACATTGCCTTTGGGGAACCGCTTCTGTTCGCCCCGAATCAAAGAATCAAACACACTTCCGAAATCTTCCGAACATCCACCTTTTTAACCTTACTACTGGTTTGCAAGACAAAGCGCATCAGACTTCCCAAGCCCCTGCCCATGGGGTTTGGGATGGCTTGGGGTTTTTGGATCCGCTGTGGCGTCTCGCGTGCCGTTGAGCCCGCTGCAGCTGAAAAGTTAAAAAGGAACTCTACAGGGGATGAACATCAACTGAACAGGTATTTGGTTCACCATTGGAGTTTTGCACATCATCTATTATCATCTGTTCTATTCCAAGGGGCGTGATTCTTTTGCCACGCGGCTGGTAGTGGTATGTTGTGTTTTTGCACCTCATCTCACGGAGGTGCCTGTGGTTCAGCGCCTTTGTAGCAGTTTGTCGCTGGAGTTGGAATGCTTGGATCAAGTGGTCCGAGAAGACTTGGCGGACCTGGAGCAAGCCATCAAGAACTTCGCAACGGAAGAGGCCAACTGACTGACCCCTTTGTCGGTGTCAAAGCCCCTCTGTCGTCGACTCTGTGAGATTGATTCGTCAGACAAAAGGTTCTGTCTCATCACAAAAAGCACTCCATCTACAGAAAGATCCGGCAGAATCCTGAAAGTCAGCTATTTGGGAATGACTTCAAGCAGGCACACCTGGGTATGTTCGTGCTTGTACTGTATGTGTTTGCAACATGAAATCAGAGAGTTTGAGCCATCATTGGCCGGTCTAGGCGTGGCTCCTGCGGGAGTGCGAGCAAGGGGAATACCCGTTGGCAGTGCGGGCGAGGCTGAAGGCTGTACACCAGGATTCTCTTACCAAAGCGGAGTGAGAGTCGCAGCAAAATGCAAAAAACAAACAGGGCAAGGTTCGGCAAGTCCAGCAGATGGTCACTCCAACGTCCTCTTTTTTGCAGTGGATGTGAGAGACTGTTTTTGAATTTCTCAGCAACAGGGAGCTGTCTTTTCAGGAGCAACTTCTCCCAATGCAACAGCACTTGAACGAGGCACGGGCGGGGCTATTGGAGGGCACTGGTAGCACCCGTTGTATCCCCAAGCAGCTTTCATGCGTGCTGCAGGTTGGAACAATGTATGGGGTAAGAGGAGCAGCTATATCAACCTATCGAACCTATGATCAGTGGAATCATTGAAGATTGTCAAGCTTGGAAGTTGATCTTTGAAAAGGGTATACCCCCTTCAAGTAGAGGTCGACTTCCTTCCACCTGCTAGAGCTCGAAAAGCCACACCGCCTTCGGCAGTCCTACCGCTGCTTGCGACCACGGCTGTCTGAGACGCTGGGCTTCTTTGCAGAGGCTGAGACGCCATCGGTGGAGGCAGCTGCGGAGAATCTTGGAGATGACAATCGGTTTCAGTGCAAAACGAACAACGTGGTTCTCTGGGTCCTCCATGAGGCCGTGCAATCCTTTGCTACTAGTGACTCCTAGTAGCCTTCTTGTTCCTAGTAGCGATGCCAGGAGCCCCTAGTAGCGAACATTGCTCCTAGTAGTAAGGCCAGGAGCCCCTAGTAGCGTTTTTGTTCCTAGTATCAAGGACATTCAAAGGATATTCCAAGGATTATTGATTGCACTGCTGTGCCATGGGAAGATGGCTTTAAGTAAAAACCAATCGCTTTGGGATTTCGACATGTGACAATCTGAAGACTGACTGATGGCAAACACGAAGGGAACCCGCGTTGCAGCAGTCGAGGCAACTCTTCAAGACACTGCATGCGTTCAAGAAAGATGTGGCCAGTGCATCTGCCGACGCTGGATGACAAGTTCTGGATGACAAGTTGAGCCACACGTTGCTTCCCACCGGGTCGCCTCCCGTGAATGGGAGTGAATATAATCATCGATCAGCGCTGACCAGGGTGAGGCATGTGCTGGTACGTCACATGGAACAACAGTGTCACCATCATGTCTAGTGCACGCTTGCGAATGCAAGCAGATTGCTTGAATGATCATGGACGATCTAAGGAAATCTTGGCTCAACCTCGGAGATTCTTAAAGGCATATGCCTCCTGTCTACAGAGTCAACTGCTCATCCTCAGACCATTTGGATTAGCCACCCATGTTGGCCGAGGCCGCTGGAGCAGCCAAAGAAGAGGAGGTCAAAGAGGTGAAGCATCGGGCCGGGCCCTTGGAGAAGGTGTGAAAGCAGAAAGAGGCAGCGAAAGAATCAAAGGCCTAAGAAGGACCATTAGATACCATGAGCATCCATTAGCATATTTAGCATCATTTAGCGCCACGCCATTCAGCTAATCTTTTGGGGCTTGGATCGCCAGAGCTGATTCTGTTGCATTCGTTGGCATCTCCAAAGACGGGTCATGTGCCTCGCAGGGCGCTGGTTTCATGCGAGGTGCGTGCTCGGAGTGTGTCAACTGCGCGGACATCAGCCGCCTCTGCTCGTGCGTCGCTGAGATTTGGGAAGGGACTCTGAGCGGTGCGGAGTTGAGACCCCAAGGTCGCAGCAGTGGACCAGCAAGGACCTCCTTGGCGGATAGGGTGGCTTGGCAGGACGAGGGAGTTTTCGTCGCATGGCAGCTCAGCACGAGCAGCTTCATTGGAATTTTGTGAGGGAATGGGCAGACAAATGCCTGATATTCAGAAGGTGCGTATGGAGCACCACTCAGAAAGGCCACCCCACCGTACATCACATCAAGTGCCCTTAATCCTTTTGACTTCACGCATAGCTTTGGAAATCAAGGTTGCTATGCAGAAGTCAGTGGCAGCTAGCAAGGAGGACTTCCGGGATCCTCCACGGGAACGTGTATTCAGTGAGTTTTCACGCAGCTGCAAACTTCATAGATATTTAGTACATTTTATGCCTAGCTTTCGTCCCCTTGGGACTCTTCAGGGCTTTGCAGCCACAAATGCTGCGGTGTTCAATCACATGCCTAGGCATTATGAGCTTTCGTCCCATCACCAACATTAATTACTGCAGGATGGATGTTTTCACTGGCGCTTGAAACGTGGAGCCTTTTTGTTCTCCACATTCAATTCAAGCGCACTCGGGCTAGGGACCCGTGTTGGTGAATTCGCCATGTGACAGGGCCGTGTTGAAACAACGTTTGTGTGGGGCCATGGATGGGGAGGGCTGTAGCTTGAGAAGACTCAAGAACTTGAAACTCGCTCATGTGCATGCCAGCTGCTTTCACATTGATTTGGCTTGCGCCCGCAACACTTCAGGACTTCCTGTTCACAGGCAACAGAGATCCGGAGCTGCATCTCTGACGAATGAGACGTAATGAGACCATGTCCCAAACAGAGATCAGTAGTAGCAAATAGCTACTAGTAACCAAGGGCATCGCTACTAGGAGCAAGGACGCTATTAGGGGCTCCTGGCC